TCCCCCTTCCCCAGACCCTAGATCTGAGCCTATCAAACACTGGAACCTCATGCCCTCAGCCCCTCACATACCCCAACCCAAATTCCTGCACCCTCACATCCGCAAGCCTATGGCTTGCTTAGTATCCCAACACTGCACAGCCTGGAGCCTCCTCCCCGAGCCAGTGTCCCCTTCTCCACCTCCTCCTGCATCCAGATTTCCTCCCAGAGCTTGCACCTCTTTACCCCTTCCCACACCCAAATCCCTCATTCCCACCCCAGAGACTACACATCCTGTCTCATCACAGCAAGGGTCCAGCTAGACTGCAGCATTTTTTGGGATTCTGGAGATATCCCAGAAAAACTCTTCTGCATCCAGGGTTGCATTTGTTCTTCCACTTTTTTAGTGGAAGAGCAAACAGGCTCTTTTGGTCACCTCTATATTCCTCTTTCCACAAGGAATAAGGTGGCTTCCAAAAGAAGGGTTTTTTTTCTGACATTTGGTCCAATCTAGACAGGCCAAATGTTGGAAAAACCTCTTCCTACAGAATAATTTTTTTTTAAAGCAGCAGTATAAGGATTGGGGATAATAGCAAGTGATGGAGAGGAGGAGAATAGAGAGGGCGCAGGGCTTCAAGGAAGGGGTGGGGCGGTAGATCTTGGCTTGGTCTGTCATTTAAAAAGTGATCTTGGGTGTAAAAAGGTTGGAGACCACTGCTCTATCTCATTTATAGGAATTGGATTGGTTTCCTTTTAATAGCATTAGAACACCGGCTTATCTTTTAACTTCATGGCACTTAGGCATGTGCTTAAATTCTTTTATTGGTTCCTCATCAGGTTACTATACCAATTAAAGGTTTTTGTTCTAAATTTAAAAGCAATTGATGGTTAAAGGTCAAATTTTAATCTGTGAACTACCTGCTATGGGTGAGAGCTGGAGCTGGAGCAGCGCCACTTGAAGCCTGGGGCTTTGAAATGCCACATGTAACCCAGAAGCAGCTAGGGTGTCCCCAGGCTGCACACGGCATTTCAAAGTGACAGCGCTGTGTGGAGCCCAGAATCAGCTGGGAACTCCCCCACTGACCCCAGGCTCCATCCGGCACTGTCACTTTGAAATGCCGCGAGGAGCCCGGCATCAGGCTCCTCACGGCGTTTTAAATCGGCAGCACAGCGTGGAGCCTAGGATCAGCTGGGGGAGTCCCCAGCTCACCCCGGGCTCCACGCAGCACTTTTGCCTTTGAAGTGTAGCAACTTCAGAGGCAGAGGAACCGTATCAACTAATCGAATAGTCACTGCAAAATGCATCAACTATTCAATTAGTCGATATTTAACATCCTTAAGCGCAACAACACCTAAATATCTGTAAAAATCTGAGCCTTAATATATGTAGTATTTTATTTTTGTTTAGCTAAGAGTTGCAAAAAGCAATGATATTTATGAACCACTTTTCTATACATAAGCTGCCTAACATAGTGATCCTTCATTTGAGTTTCTATTAGTACTTCAGTTAATTCACATATACATTTCTATAGTTTTCAAGTGGCAAATGTGGGAATCAAAGGAAAAGGTTTTCATAGAGAAGAGTGAGAATATTTTCTCACTTTTGCTTTGGTTTAATTTACAGATGCTTGAAGTACGGCTGTTGTACGAAATAAATGACGTAGACTCTCCAGATGGTGAGCAAGTTCCACCATTGCCAACTCCAGGCACGGGTTCCAATCCTCAGTCCATTGCTCCTCAGTCACATCCGTCTACTAGCAGCAGCTCATCTGATGGGCTTCGTGATAATGTCCCCTGTTTAAAGTAAGTGTAATAACATGGAAAGTCTAAAAATCCACTTTCTCATGTTGCACTCATATGTCCTTATATCATAGCATCAACCTTAGGCTGAAAGTCCTTGCCTGTTTCCGTTAGCCATATCTATACATCATATTCAAATCCCTGCTCAGTACCGGCTTCTTTCATGAATTCTGCAATTCCTAATTCTCCCCTCAGAATTTGAGACACATTTTCTCTACTAAAGCCATCATATTACTGCTGTCTATCCTTGTCCTGCACTTTCCCATCTTTCACTGTTTGGAATCATTACTCGAGTTGTATTAAGCAGTAAATCTAAGCATTATCATAAATAATGGGAATTAAGGTGAAATGAACAAAATAAATGAATACCTACTTTTGATACATTAGTCTTATTTATTTATATTGCTTTTATTCATTTGGTAGATTGCAAAATTCAATAATTATCAGTCTCCATGTCTTGCAAAAGTTAATATGATTCTGCTCTATTAAAGTGAAGAGTGGAGAGAGAAATATAAAGGCATTATACCTTGTATTTGTATTGCAGAATAAAAAGCTCTCCCCTCAAACAATCTGTAGGCTACCAGATTGAATTGGTTATTCAGCTGGTATGGGTGAGTGGAGAACCTCCACAGCAGATAACCAGTTTGGCAGTAAACTCAGCTTATGGTCTGTAAGTATATTCTGTGTTGTTTACTAGTTTTCTAATCATTTTCACCAAAGTGGCTGTAATTTGAAAAAGTCAACATTGGTTTATACCCACTGTGTAGGAATATTGGCAATGCTATCAAAGTAAAAAGTTGCAATAGTTTTATAATCACAGATGGTATCTTTTTTGCAGATTTTGACTTTTTAATGATAACTCTGATAATCAGTCATATAATGTTTATAAATCTGTATATATAATCTGTTAATGAATATCCTAGCTAATCTAATTGAATTGATTAAAAAAGGATTAAAATACTTCTCTAGTTATATAAACAAAAAAGACAGACTTTAAATACTTTTAATTATATGAATAGGAAATTTCAAGTGTTTTTTGTGCACCAAAAAAAATTAAAATGAACAGAGTTGTATCAGAGCTTGTGTGTCATATATTTAAAAGAATCCTGTCCAGCTGCCTTATTTGTCTAAGAGCAAATTATAAGTTCATTAAAATAGAGATTTTTAATAGGAGCTTTAGTACACCTTTTCTTCATAGTAATGGTAATGATTGTCACTAAAATAATAAAGTAAATGACCAAAAGAAAGTGTACTGACAGTTTTAAGGGATATCCCATTTTGCATCTATTAGGGTGAAGGTGATGGTCTCATAGGTGGGAGGACAGCTTTTTTTAAGAGACTCTTTCATTAGGCAATTTGCCCAGTTATATAAGTAGGCCAAATAACATCATAAATGTATATTGAAGTCTCTCTTCCGCCCCTCCCCCAAATAACCAGGGAAATTTAAGTTTCAGAGATGAACGTTAACTATGGAAGAAAAGCATGTACTGTAAAAAGTGGATTTTATAAAATGAGTTGTAGAAATTGTCTTTCTGATTAAATTTGCTCATTTTGCAAATAAAATGATTCTTCTGCAAAATGCCAGCTCTACAAAGTCAACTTGGAAGCTGGATACTATTGGAGATACCTTTTAACTCACGCATCAATTTCTACAATTACAGCTTAGTTTGTAATTGTGGTGTTAATGAACAAGTTATAATTAAAGGCAGTTAATTCTCTCACAGCTAGGTTGGCTCTGCAAAATCAAACAGCAGTAAAAACCAAATTGTGTCTCTAGTAAGTGAACTCTGTAGCTACAGCAAACTGGCTTATTGAAAAGGAAGTACATATATACTTGTTCCTAAGCCAATTTTTTTTTGGTATAGAGAAGCATCAAAGAGTGAGGCTCAGCAATGCATCTGTGTGGTCTTTGTAGATCAGGGGATGGCAAACTTTAGCTCAAGGCCCATCAAAATAAGCTGCAGGCATACCAGATATTTTATTTACCAGAGCATCCACAGGCACAGAGCCTCTCCACTTCCAGTAGCTGTGATTCACTCTTCATGGCCAACACGTTCAGAGGAAGTGGCAGGTCAGCATGTTCTTCAACCCATGCACTTCCTGCAGCTCCCATTGTACGGGAACATAAACCACAGCCACTGAGAGCTGAAGGACTCTGTCTGCAGATACTCCAGATGCATAAAACATCTTGGTGTGCCACTGGTTTACCCTATTGGGTTGGGAGCTGAATTTTGCCAATCCCTGAAATATAGGGTCATCTTATGAAAAGGTCATTGGGTTTTTCCAGTTCTACCTATTCATTGGGTGGTGGTCGGCTTATAAATGAATGGGCCAGTGAATGAGCATACGCAGTACTATTTTTAGTCACTTTCTAGAGCAGCAAACTGTACTTTAAATATTAGTTCACAGAAGTATTTTTTTAAATCCTGTTTCAGGTTCACTTAAATGACCAATTTAAAATAAAAGTATTTTTATAATTCTTTGTCAAGTATAGTACTACATACAGGAATAAAAACAATAGCAACATTTGACTATCAGCAACTTTATTGAAATATTTCCTACTACTCCATTTCTTCCAGAGTAGTTTTTGGGAATTGTAATGGTATTGCAATGGTTGATTACCTGCAGAAGACAGTCCTCTTGAACCTTGGTACCATTGAATTGTATGGCTCTAATGATCCCTATCGTAGGGAACCTCGATCTCCTCGTAAAACTCGGCAACCATCAGGAGGTAAGAATAGGTGAATGTTGCATTTCAACATTCAATAGGTGAATGTTGCATTTCTCCAGAGCTCATAATTGTGTCTGCTTTGAAAATAATCCCATTAGCACCTTAAACATATATTTGCTTTTGTATGACTATTACATGTCTGATCTTTGAGAATAATTAATGGGACATTGGTCTGTATTCACATTCTCATACATGATGATTCTTGACAATTCAGTAACTTGAATCAGAGGTATCTGAGAGGCTGTATACTAGATTCCTCCTGATTAAGTACAATATTTCATTTTTTGTTGCATCTTCCCTGGCTTACCCAGATTTAATTTTTCTCTTGTTTTGTGATATGAGACTAAGCTTTGTTGCAGACTGAGCTTTATGTATTTGCTGTTTTTCATGTGATTTGTATCAATTTTTAAAATATGTCAAAAGCCCCTTAAGCAACGTATAGGCAAGCATTGTATACATTCATAGAATTATAAATTAAATACAAACCAATTATGTGAATTTTAAAATATCTTAATTTAATAATGGTCAAAATTTCATAAATATGACTAGATGATATCCTGCAGTTTCCCTGCTCTCCCTCCCCTCTCCACATCTTCTCACTTATATATACCCCTTTTCTCAGCATAGAAGGGTCATCACAAAACTGGGTACCTTTGCTTCTGCTGCTATTAATTTAAAATTTCTCATCACTAAGAATGTCTATAATTATTGGGACTCACTTTGTGCTTCTGAAAGGGGAAACCCCAGGTATGGAATATAAATGAATAATATCAATTTGCAAGTCCAAGGTTGTAAAATAGTGTGGGTTAAAAATTAGGTATGGAGGGGAGTAGTTGAAATCATACTTTAGGTTTTTCTTAAATTGTTCTGGTGTTTTGTTATTCATATTCTTCATTTATAATTTCTGAAATAAAAACAGCTAATATTTTTAAAACATTTTTGTTCAGTTTAGTTACATGGAGCCACTCACCCAGTAAATTGCACAAATAATCCCTGAGCCACTCATGAATTTTATAGGGAGAAGCACCAGCAAGTCACCCCAGCTACCAGCCTTTCACCCCAGAAATAAGGTCATACACTAATCAGGATTCCCTCCAACAATGTAAACTCATTAATAATTTTGCTGCTTCTTCATAAGAAAGTGGACATGTGCCTGCCTTTGTAATCTGAGCAGAGATTTCATAAGCCCTGCAACCAAAAACACAGTTTTTAAGTAACATAAAATAGAATATTAACTACAGAAAAACGTATTTAAAACAAGTAACGGGGATACGGATCAAAGATGGTAATCCAAGAAATAAAAATAATAATTAGTCTAAATTCTAACTTCAATAGACTTAAGCAAGATTTTAATCAAGGTGTTTCTCACCCTAACATGTTATGGTCTGTTCACAGTTCTTCAATACACAGATTGGACTTCCTTCTGTCTTGAAACTTATCTCCTCAATTTTCAAGTCTTGGTCATCTAGATAAGAGATTGGGGGACAGGAGAGACCAAGTGATGATGTCACTGTCCTTTTTTTTTATACATTCGTACTGTGGCTAGAAAGATCTTTGCTGTGATGTGTGGGTCAGGCAATCCCCATTGCATACCTCCCTTTTCTGAGAAGCCTCTGGATTGATGGTTGCTTCTTTGTCACAACTGAAAGGCATAGATGTTTCTCAACCTCACGACATATAGCAGTACTTCTTTACTTCATTTACAATCCTAGTACATAAAATCCAACATGATATTAAGGTTCAACAGATCAATATTTTTAAAGTTTATACCTCATGCATACTTTGTAAGAAACATATCATAACCATATGATAGTAGTGAATATGGGGTCTTCAAGATGCTATCTTGAGGTACAGTGCCACAGATGCACCATTCTTCTTTTGGATTTATAGATGCTATAACTGAGGTAGGTATCACTTGATAGTAAATACTGGTTTGACAAACATCAAATACAAGGTGAAGACATTAGACTAAAAAAAAGGCACCAAATATCTACCATATTATAAAGCACTTAATTAATCTTTGATTTTCCTTTCATGGATAAAGGTTTCATTTTTTCATATGAGCAAAAGTCAGTCTAATATGATAGGCTTAATGTTTTAGTTTCATAGGGAAAAATGTTAGTACTTAAATACTGTTTTTGTACTCTGATAAAATTAAGTCACTCTGAGAGACATTAGAAACTGCTTAGTTTGTGCCATTGGCCTTTGTCATTATAACATCTTGTTAGCATGATTAATTGTACCTCTCTTTCACATGTGTGTACGTGCTTATTAGCTGAAATATCCAGTATGGCTCATCAAGATAATGAAAAGCGATTATTGGCTGGTGTGAATCTTTACTTTTAATTAAGATTTTTTTTCCTTCAGATTTTAGTTGCTTTTACTAAGAGTTGGTCTGCCTGGCAAAAGCATCATATAACCCTGATGTTTTAACTTATTCTGTAGATTTTTCTGTCTCAAACATATTATGTTGGTGTCTCGTCTTTCCTTTTTTCATTGCTTCATTAAGGTATGCTGACTGTGGTTTCTTGCATGTGCAGCCTTTCTAACTTATATTCAGAGTCTGTGAAAAAGCTTCGCACCTCTTATATAAGTAAGTCATTTAATGGCAATAAAATATTTTTGACCATCTGAATTTGATGTAAATAATGTGCTGTTTACACATTAAGTTTTTGTTACTTCATGTAAATAACTTTAGTTTTAGAAAGTGGTCTTGTAGCTGTGTCAGTACCAAGTCACTGAACACACAAGGTGGGTGAGGTAGTATCTTATTTCATCAACAAAAGTTATTTCAGTAAAGGATATTATATCTATTTTGTATCTCTTGCTTTAGAAACTAATTTTGGCATGTGCCATATCTTTTGTTCTTGTGGCACCACCAAAATATATTTGATTGAGGGCGCAGGAGAATTCTCCAGATATAGGAACTGTGAAAGATGGTTGTGAGACCGCCCCATGAGGGCTCCCTAATGAACCCAAGCAGACGTGAAGGCAAGGCCAGAGCACTACAGAGATTCAGGAGGGCACTACAGCACATAGGACACCCTTACGAGACTGCCAAACTTGGACAGACCCACGTAACTGAATAAATAGCTAGACCCACTCCAGCCCCCCAGAATAATTCATAATCAAGAGGGCATAAAGCAACCAGAAAACTCCTCCCCAGGCCAGCTTATTCTGTGTTACACTTCGAAGAGGCACAGCATAGAATCTCTCTTTGTTTTTATTTAGTTTTTTAAAAGCAAAGGAAATAACTGACCATGTAAAAGACATTGTTCTCTTATGAGAAGAAAAAGATAGTAGTTATATTAAGCTTTTTAAAAACTTGTTTGCTTGCTAAATTAATTTTTTAGCTTCCAGCTGTTGGCATGTATCTTTTTACTGAGAAAGAAGAAACTGTTCCAGCAACTGTGCAATTACCTAATCTTTTATATCCTCTACTATCTCTGATAGATAAATCCACATGCCACATGCCTTACTACAGATAATTAATTGAAGCCAAATGTTTAATCTCCGCTAATGCAGATTTAATACAAGAATATTTAGAGAATGGAAAGAGTTTCTTCCAAGCACATCATTAATATATATATTTCGTTTATGGTTTGTGGTCATGACTAAAACAGAAACACAATACATACCATTGATGCAGATTGTTATACAGGCAGTCCCCGGGTTACGTACAAGATAGGGACTGTAGGTTTGTTCTTAAGTTGAATTTGTATGTAAGTCGGAACTGGTACATATTGTAGGGGAAACTCTAGCCAAACATTTCTCCAGAGCTCAGTTTTATTCTCCCACACCTCACTTCCCTCAGTCCTTTATTCTCAAGCTGAGCTGTCTGCTGAGAAAAGTTGCTCAGTGTCTCCCTGCTCTGCTGCGGGGGGGCGCTAGCTTCGCGTCTCCCTGGTCTGCTGGGGGGAAGCAGCTAGTGCGGGGTTGCCTCACCCCATTTGTAAGTAGGGATCCGATGTAAGTCGGATCCATGTAACCCGGGGACTGCCTGTATTTAGTATCTTATTACTTGCAAACCATTACACAGCACTAGTATTTCATAAATCATGGTTTTATGTTTAATTAGCACTATCAAAGTAAAACATCTTATAAGGTGAGGCTTTGTGAAATTATCAGAAATTTTTATTTGTAGCATCCTTGATTCCAGAATAATCTGGTTTAGTGTTATTTCAAAATGCAAACTATTGACATGGTCTTGTTTGAACTTTGAAAGGGAATATATCTTCTCTAATTTACTTTTTTTTCTGGAAAGTCATTTTTGATGAGGAAATTTGATGTTTTTAAAAAATTCTAAAAAATTAGTACTTGCAAAGCATTTTTAAGCATAGCTCATATACAGCAGCAATAGCATTCGTCTAACCTCATAACAGGCGTATGATGTTCTTGGTAGTCTCCCTCTTACCCATCTCCTTCAAATAACTATTCATGAAATTTCACTGATGCTATTACTGGAGGAAGAGAAATTGGAAAGCATGCTGCTAATCTCTTCAGTGGGAGTACCAATTTAAAAATTTACTTTAAAATCATGACCTCTCTTCATAAATGTATGTGACTAATAGGGCTTTGATTCAGTTAGCATGGTGCTCTTGTGATAACAAAACATACTTTTATTGTTCATTAATGTGTATTTCCAGGATTGGTAGAGATAACTGACAGAGGGGAAGAAATCACTTTCTTTTTCATCAAGCTTCTTCCATTATGTTCTGACCAAATGAATAAACAAAACTAGCTCTGAAAGAAATCCCTAACTGGCCAGTCTAGCAGCCTTAAGTATGTGAGGTTTCTTTATATGTGTGTGTGCTTTTACAAAGAACTTCGATATACAATGTAAAATATATTAGTTAATGAGTAACAGAATGAACATTTTTTGGAATATTTTAAGAAGTTGGTGAAAAAGTCAAAGGTCTTGCTTCATATGTCCTAGCATATGTCACCCTGTATTTACGTAACACTGCTTGTCAGATTTCACCCACATCCATTATAAGCCTAAATAAAGTCCATTCATTCTCCTGCAAGCCATCAACTGAGAACAAATTGTGATCCCACCATAATATTCTATCAGTGGTCCTATCAGCCCTGACCCACTGGTTACTCCCAACAAAATTCAAAGACCTCCCACAATTGCACTGATTATAGATGTACAATATATTACAGTGGAATCCACTTACTAGGTAGCCGGATATTGACAACATCCATAGCAGTATTTTGCCAGGAACCAAGACTGTCCCATTGACTTTGATGTAAATAGTATTCAGGTATTGGTGATGGCATGGCCACGTGGACTCCGCCCTCCCTACTGCTGCCAGGGGCAAAGAAGCTAGGGTCATGTGGCCTCTTCCCTCCTCACTGCTCCCGGGATGCTGGGGCGTGCAGGCTCTTCCCCTCCCCATGGTGGGAGTGGTGCTCCGTTCCTCCTCCTCTCCTCCCTGTGGTGGGGGCAGGGCTGCAGGTGGGAGCTTGCCTCTCCCTAGAAGCTTCGCAAGTCTTCTCAAATGTTCTCTGTGACAGACAGCATGACGGACACCTCTCCTTTTATAATAGTATAGATTTGTTTGGGGGGGGGAGGCCCAACTCTATTATCAGGTTTACAATATGGTAGCCAGGGAAGGAAATGCAGGGACATGCCTTCCCCAGTTGCAGTTCAATGAACCTACTTATGAGTAGTATTCAGCCCCTCACTGTGGGGCTGCATCCCTACAAATCTGGCTTATCCAGTTTGGTTAAAAATCCACCTTACCAGCAGCCTCTTTATGCCATCCACTTGTTCAGTCATGTTCATTTTCCAGCTCACAGTGTCCAGATTCATGAAAGGGTTACTGCATACTTATTTCACATGTCCAAGAACGTTCCTACATGGAATCTTAATGCTGTGTTTGCAAACCTCATGGAGCCCCCTCTTCAAGCCACTTTCAGAACACTTCTTCCGTTACCTTCCTCTCAAGATGATATTCTTAATCATTATCACATTGGCTGCAGGGTCAGTGAATTCCGGGCCCTTAGCATTGATCTCCTTTTACCCAACATTCCACAGACATAAGATGGTATTGAGACTTCATCCTAAGTTCATCTGTAAAAGTATTTTGGAATTTCATCTGAACCAAGCCATCAGATTTCTGCTTTCTCTCCTAAACCCCTCTCTGCTTCTGGAGCAAAAAAAATCTTCATAATTTGAGCATTTAAGGGGTTGCCTTATATTACAGAACCCTTACGACCAACTTCTCGTGTGTCTATAGCTATATTTGGTGCTTCATCTTTGCTGAAGTTTTAAGTTTTCTTCTGTCAGAGAATGTCAAAGTGGACCACGTAGTGGATGTCATTCTGTTATGAAATGGCTGATAAATGTTTCCCTCTAAATCAAAGGTGACTTTGTTAGTAGACAAGCTGTACTGTCTCCTTGCTTCTAGAACATTCCCATGACTAAAATCTGAAAGGAAGCTGTCTAGAATAATCCCCTGATTTACATTAAGAACTGTGCTTTTGACCTAGCTGCAAGATCAAATACCAAGTTTGAAAAACAGTAAAGGAAACTCGCATGATTCACAGAATCGCTATTCATGCGTTCACGTATTCGCATGTCTCCTGTCCTGGCTTGAGGGCAGCACGGGGAGGAAAGGTGAGGACCCATGGGAATCTTGCTGTGGCTCCCAGCTTTTTGGGGGACTCACCGTCTGCTAAAGGTGCAGTTTGCCTACTAAATAAGTTCCCCGCAGCTGCCTAGAATTGTGGTTCCTGGCAGCTGAGGTGAGTTCCCTGCGCCTCCCATCCCCTGTGGTGAACTCACTGTGGGGAACAGGAGCCCCCAGTATTCACTAATTTTACCATTCATGGTGGATGCAGAATAGTGAGGGTTTCTTGAATTAACATCACTGTAATAGGGTAGAAGGGTGTACGGTCATGTGTCATGAAGGTGTGATCCAATGGAAGTGCAATTCAAAAGATTCTGATTGTACACTTTGAGTGGGATTCATATTGATGACAACATCACACTTACAT